AAGATATATATATATACAAGAGATACATATATTATTTTAAATTATTAAATTATTAGAAAGTGGCTTAAAGATATATATATATACAAGAGATACATATATTATTTTAAATTATTAAATTATTAGAAAGTGGCTTAAAGATATATATATATACAAGAGATACATATATTATTTTAAATTATTAAATTATTAGAAAGTGGCTTAAAGATATATATATAGAAAACATATATTATTACTAACCGGTAGAAGGACAGCAAGAGTAACGATGATTTTCATGATGATAGAAGCTCTTTGAGTAACTTGGGTGAAGAAAAGCTGTTTCGGAACCAGACGAACAGGTGGAATAACGTCTACCAGAGTCTGAGCTGGAACCGGAACAGGAAGATAGACGCCGAAACATAAAACCGTTTTCGGAACTGGATATGGAGCAGGAAGAGAGCTTACGAGATAAACACGCATCTGATGATGGCATTCCTGCTGTAATAAGATAAATGTTCTATACGGTTTGTTTTCTATACAGGGCATCATTAATTGAAAAATTTAATAACATAAGTGAAAAAATTACATTCTCACATGATCGATTTTATTGATATCTTTTGTTATTAATTTATTTTACATTTTTGATAAATTTAAAACCACTTGTATAACATTGAGACAGAAAGATGTATTGTAAGAATTATAATTCTTAAAATAAATCCTACATAATCAATCAAATTTTTCTTTTCTTTAATAAAAAAATTTATCGAGACACCGATTGTTTTTTAATTTCTTTCACTACTTACGCGCAAATCTGTGAATAGGTGATAGAGAAAGAGAATAAAACCGGGAAAAATGATGTATCTTTGCTAGGACAAAATTTTTATTTAAAATTTAATCTCAGAAAAATCTAATATCAAATATCAGAAATGAGAAAAAAAATTGACGAAGAAGGATTAACTTGAAATCAATGAATTAAATTTAAATCAACGGTTAAATAGGTCGTCTGTGATATTCTATATATGTATAATATACAAACGATGTATTTTTTTTTCTTACGACATGATACCTTGGAAAGGATAACTCGTATTATGGACGTGATACATTGGATATCCTTGAAAACCTCTTTTAAGCCTTACTCTCCCATCCTCGGGCTCAGATCCACTGGGACAACTTGATGAATTGTGATTATCTTCTCTTACTGTTCTATTTGGGATACATTTCTTCGTAGGCTGATGTTTCTTCTTCTTGTCAACCGAGTGACGTAATTCGAATACTTGTACGTCACCCAAAGCCATTTGTATGGCGATTCGCGCAGAAGCTGAGTCCGTGAATTCGACCATAGCATATTCTTCGATGGAGGCCCATTCTGGCCTTTTAGCGATTGCCTGTCGCACCTAAGTAACGATTGTGAAAATTTTATTTCCTGTTTCGACATTGATGGATCTGCCATTAAATATTAAGAGTATTACGCAAAGCGAGATTGATGCACATAATCATCCGCGACTTATTATTTATATGCAATATGTATGTATGCGAACAAAAATCTATGTGTGTATATGTGTATATGTATGTACATACATACATATCTATATATACAATGCTGCAATGTGATAACCCGGTAAACAATTTATTATTACATTTCTTCAAACTTGATGTTTTTAAAAACAAATAGTGTGAAAATTACTCTTTTAATTATTTTTAATGTTTTCACATTACTATATTATTATTTCTATTACACTAAAAAGTATAATTTTACAAAAGGAAAAAGGATGTATGAACATGTATGGACATATTTTATATATAATTATACATGTTTATGAATATTTCTGTTTATGAATATTGCGTGTTTATGTATGTTTATATATATTTATACATATTCATGCATAAAAAATATTTTATCGGGTAACGTACGTATACACGTGTGTTATATTACAGTTATATTGTTGAGTGGGAAATTATATTATACTAACATGTGTGTACATTACATATAATTTGGTATTTGCTGGGATTTAATCTGTATAAATATAAATTACAAAGAAAAATTTCAAATCAGTACATATGTACTGTATTACGAATCTTGGCCCGTTGCTATCATCCCAGCATTTCTCATATACCATATCAGTATTGGTATTCAGTCGGTACTGAATACTGAAAAATGGACAAGTACTTCGCCGGTATTCAATTCCCACTTGTTTATGTCTTTCTTAATTGTATTACTAGCAAAAGATGTATATGCCATGTATCATATATAATATTATACATAATGTAATATGTGGCATATACATCTTTAGCAAAAGATGTATATGCCATGTATCATATATAATATTATACATGATGTAATATGTGGCATATACATCTTTTGCTAGTAATACAATTAAGAAAGACGTAATTTTCTAAAGACGTAAACAAAATTGAAAATATAAATGCAGAATAACTTGATTGAAGGAACAGTTGACGTAACGAGTGATCCAATCGAATAATCTCTTACTGCAGGAAACCTTATTTTAGTTCTTATGGCTCAACTGTAGCTTGTTAACGGGGAGATATCATATATCAGTAAGTTAATTGTAACATATTATACGAACATTACATCACAGAGTATTAGTCCATGCCGTGATTATGTCACGGTAGAATGCAATTGTGGAAAATTTGACGGATGATAGGATGGAAATGTGATAAACAAGCATTATCCAATAACTATTATCATTAAACTCGGGGCCAAGTTCCGGTTTGTTGTATTATTGACAGTAATTGAAAGAATTGTAAGTTACAATTTGTAACACTAGGAATTACGTGAATTACATTAATTTATGTAGCGATAATTAGTAGTCTTCTTATTTACATTACTTTATGCTCATTTTTATCTTATGTGTTCTCCAAAAACTGGTCGAAAAAGATAATAAAATAGCAAAGAAGAGAAGCACATGTGATGCTAACGATATAATTATATACTTCAAAATTATGTATCCCGTATCTTTATATATAAAATAGATTGTCTAAAGTTGCGAACATTCGAAATTCGCATGCAGGTATATTTTTCGATCAATTCGTATATATTCGTATATTTATATATTATATA